GAAAAATGTCTGAAAATCAAAATACTTTTTCCATTTTACAGTTTTTTCGAGCTATGAAACCAATCAAAATCGAAGTTCGGTACGATTCTTGAAATGAATTTTGATCAAATTGTGCAAAAATACCATTAAGTCAATTAATTTAAACTGACACTGCAAAGATTTTTTATTATTATTTTTTGAAAGCAAAATGGACAGCCAAATAGTACTTTGATACGAAATGAAAGTTTTGATATTAATTTCAGGTCAAATAATATTCTAGTATGAAATAAAAGTTTTGAGATTATATTTAGTTGGAAAATTTATGCATAATATTTGAAAAGTAGAACAAGTCAATTTGCATATTTTATGCATTTCAATGAAAGAATAGAAAAAGGGAAGAGTAAATGCAAAATGAATTGATGCATACATAATTACTGGCGGAAAATAATCATAATTAGCTTTGAAGGCATGAATTGAGGATAATCAGAGCATCTGAAGTCGCTCAGTGCATTAACAATGTTAAATTGTGTGGTGACCAAAATGCAAATCTAAAAAAAATTGAATCGATTAAAAAAAACTTGTCAACTTGTTTTTTGAATTTTACATTAAGCAATTTTTGGCACTCAGATGATTAGAATGACTGTTCAAAACTAACTTTTAGCTATTAATTGATAATTAAATAGTTATTAATAACTTAAAAAATTGGCTTAATTCTTAGCTTGGATTTTTATTATAATATTCTTATGCAAGTGCACAATCCAATGTTTTTTATTTCATTTGCTGAAAATTAGTATACTACAGGGTTACGGTATCAACTAATTCGAAAACGTCGTGTAAGTTAAACGTGATTGTATAATCAATTTGGCTATCTTTTAATTGTAATATTTGGGTAAAATATTTAGTACTTCCTTATTTTAGTACTTAATAGTGCAATATATTTGTTTATGGAGTAATTCATCGCAGAGTATGTAGGAACGATAACAAATTACTTCTATAATTTATTTCATTTCAAGTAAATAATACTAAATAATTTCTGTATTTTGTTAATTAATTTAATTTGTCTTTTTAATTCAAGTAAATTCACGCTATTTGAGAAATTAATATGTGAAATTTGTATTTTTCTGCCACGTGCAAATTTCTTTGACATTAAAAAGAATTATGGTAAAATTAATAATTAATTTGTTTGTTGCGATTTGGTTATTATGAAGACTTGCAATTAAAAAACTAAGTTGAACTCAGTTTCAGTGGCCAATATCATCATTGTCGAAAATTTTAGACTAAGAAAAGATAGTGCAACCGACAATTATCAACAGAATTAGTTAATAATTTATAAAATTAATAAATTTGTTATTGTAATTTTTCACTTCACTAAGTATTTTTTTTCCTTTCGTATAAAAAATTTACATAATTTAGCAATTTTCGTACAAGAAGCAGTTTAAATGAAAATTAATTCACTGCATTTCTGTAAAAATCACTTTTGAGAAGCTAAAAGAGCTAAACATCCCGTGACCTTTGACACGTATTACAGACAGTTTGCGACGCATAATTCTTCGCAATTGTCAGTACTTTGAATTCAGCAAGTTTATATTTAATTGAAACTTCAATAATTCATTTCTGACCACTGATATATTATCTAACGATCATTCAGCACTTAGTGATATCAGTCAATTATCATCAATTACACATTGCTGAAATGTCGCAAACTTCTCGATCAACTTTCATCAAATTTTATCAATGTATATTCTTCACTTTAGCCCTTGTAGAAACCGATAAAGGTTCGTTTGTTGAAATATATTAATTACTAATCAAAAGATTCATTCAGACATTAATTTAATTAACGTAACATCGGTTTAATCACTTAATAATCAAACAGTATAATGTTTGAAAAATATATATAACCAATTTAAGAAATTTCCCTTGAGTTTCATTATGTCTTATACATTCTTTTCAAAGCAATATTTGTTGCAGCAGACTGTAATGGATCAGATCAATCACCACAGTTCACTGATACCGTAAGCAACACTTTCAAGATTAAGACTGTAAGATAATTTTTTCTCAGTGCTACCTTCACGCACAAGAATAAAAATATTAGTTATTTAATTTGCAATAAGGATAATGAAAATCAATCAACTACAGTAAAATTTATTATTATTCTTCATTATCTAGAAGACATTTCTAGAAAACTCTTGGAATCTTTCTTAAAACTATATAAAAATGTTTTGAAACTGCTTATTAATTATCAATTAAAGTGACAAATTAAAAAAATTAAACTAAATACTAAACTTGAACTTTGAACTAGTATCAATTTACTTATTTAAATGGGTAATTTTCAGTACAATCAAAATTCAACTCAAAACTGGAACACACAGAGACAATATCAGAATTCTATGATTCGTAATCAAAAGGTCACGGGTCAGCTACGTGAGAGGCTCCGATGGCCAGGTATGCTTTCATTAAAAAATTTTAAATGATCCTTGATAGCTTCTCATTTTGCTTTATACAAATATATGCATTATTGTACTGTAACTGTACATATTTAAATTTTAATATTTGCTTAAACTAATACTACTAAAATGATTGCAGTCATTATATAATCAGTTTGTATTCAAATTCATAGGTCTTACTAATTTGAATGTATTTTTAAAGACTGCTAATAATAAAACATATGCTATTTGTAAGCAAAAGTATTAAATGAGATCAATTCTTAAATTAATCACAAACAAAAAAACGCTTATTTTTTATTTTTATTTTTTGGTAATATCGAAAATCAAGTAAATATAGTGAATCGAACATAATGAGCAAAAATTACAATACGAATTTTTTCTTAAAACTCAAAATCAAATTCGTTAATAAGTAAAATATGTGCAATTTTATAGGCTGGAAAATTAAAAATGGTAGCACTAATATAAGTACTCGTATTCCATCACAAAATATATTTATTACGTAGTATGAGTTAATTGTAAGTGAAGAAAACGATATAAAATTTAGCAAATATTATATAAATATTATATAGTACTAACATTAAAAGTATACTTGGATTCCATTTTCTACTTTTCAATTCCAATTTTCAGCATTTTTTGATGATTTGTAAACCATAAAATTTTAATGTCTTATTTATTCATTTATTTATTTTTGTATTTATTCATTTATTTTTTGTATAATCTTAATGTATTATTTATTAATTTATTTTTTGTATATTCATTTATTTTTTATATATTTGCTAAATTTTGCAAATTACCGAAGTAATTCAGCTAATTTTGTCTTCTTCTGCGATACTAAACTGATTGATATTAAAATTAGGAGTATCAAAAATTAAAAATTGGCATTAATGTTATGAAAAATTAAAAATTAGAAGGCATTATGAGAGTATTAGTCAAAAAACTTTTTTTCAAGAAGTTTACACTAAAGATATTAAAAATATTTAATTAGTTCACTCTAATTAAATATTTTTAATACTAATTAAATATTTTTAATATCTTAATTCTTCCTGATTAAAAAATATCGTTGTAAAGTTATACAGTACTCATAAAGATAATCATTTTATTCAGATTTGTTTTGCGATTTTTCAGACTAAAAAACAAACATTAAAAGTTTTAAGGGCCATGTGATACAGATAGCAATTGTCCACCAAGCTTATACTGTGTCGGAGGTAGTTGTTGGCATGTGGAAAATAAACCAATTCGATTACAAAGATCTAGTTGGTAAGGTTATATAGTTATTGCAGTGAACATAATTAATATGATGTTATTTCAGGTATACTTTTTAGTAAAATAATTTTTTTGTAAAATTTAGACTTATTATTGCATGTGAAACGTTTAGCGAATTCGCTGAATGAGTCCGAAGAGAATATATCCAAAGCAACAAAGTATATTTGACTTACTAAATTTAAACTTTAAAAAATTTTCTTTATACCAAATTAGTCTAATGTTTATATTTATTCATTAAGGCTATATTTAATATGTGAAATTGTCATAATTGTTCACCGATTTTGTAATAAAAATAAACCAAACTATTCAGTCTAATTTGAGCAAAAAAAATATTACTCCTTCAAGAATAAATCATATTAAATTAATAAACTTAATCTAACAGTGCAGAAGTTTTATTTCAGGAAGAATTTTGAAGAAACTGAGAATGGTACAAATAAGGATTCATCTAAAGTGGGCTTCTCAAACTTAGATCTTTTTGATTACATTAATGAAGACAGCAACTCTATTAAAACAAACACTACTCCTATAATTATCACCACTGAAACCAAGCAATCTGAATACCAATTAAGAAATTAAATTTGATTCATTATTCAATTTATGAATATTTTCAAAAACCTTACATTAAATTAAAGTATCGTTGTTGATTGGAAAAATATTGAAAAAAATAATATTTTGCGAAAAATGTATCTCAAAAATCAATTTTTTACAGACTGAATTCGAAAAGAATCCAAAAACTTATCAGAAACAGAATGTGTCTGAAACGAATATAAGTGGTGAATTTTTGACAAATTTTCATAACTTTTCATCTTTTAAATAAAAATTAAAAACTTTATTAAGTCTGTGCATTGCTTCTTTTTAACTTTCCAGTCTTAATGATTGTTAATGATAACAAGTCAATCTAAGATCTAATCATTTTATCAAATATTTGCTATTTTTCTTGGCAAAATTTGTCTCTCGTCATATCTGCTTCATTTGCATACATTCAAATTTCAGCGATAAGAAGAAATTTTTATGATATTTTCGAAGATTATAACGCCAATACATAAACATATTTAAATATATTTCGATTTTGAAGTTACTAAAACTATAAAAATATAAATTATTACTGCAATTAATCGTTTGCAAAACTGATATATTTTATTTTTACCTCAAATCAGTCTCGAAACTGAAAATGCAAATAAATCAAATTTGCTTAAAATTTACGTGACAGATTTCTGCGCTACTTCAGAAACAATTCAGCGTACTAACGGTTATAATTACGATGATAAAAAGTCAAGATTAAGGTCGATCTGGCTGGAAAAAATTCCAATTTTTATGAATTACACGAGTGAATATAAATTACATAAACCAGTGCATATTGACCTACATCGCGCTAGAGGTTAGCATAAAACTATTCTACAAATACTAAATCTGATCTGCATAGAAATGTAAATGAAATAATATATTTGATACAAATTTCGCAGTCATTTATATAAAAAAGAGATTTCGGTGTCATTTTTATTGATCATTTGTAATAAAATTCAGTTAAATATTATTGCATGATAATTTATTTATTATTTAACAATTTATGAACTGTATTTTAGCTTTGCAACGAGATGAATGTTCGCAAGACATGCAATGTGGACGATGGATGATTTGTTGCCGCAAGCAATGGTGCGATTTAGATGGTGATTGCGATCTCGGATCATTCTGTTTGCCAAATTGTAGCTTAACCAAAAAGATAAATCTCGAACTACGTGAGGCTAATGGAATATCACCAATGGATCTGATTTACGATTAACTGACTTCCATGCATTATTTTAAAATAAAAAACCCGAGATTCTGTCATTTTGCAAAACAACTCATTCTTCCGTGACTTCTCATTTTCAAATTTTCCTGGAGAATTGTAACTATTACAAATTGAAATAAACTTATAAAATTAGTTACATAATGGACTTCACTATTAACTAATACTAACCTTGCATTCCGATTTACTTCATATAGCTGAAACCAGAATGCCAGTAATTTGAAACTGAATATATAATGCTTTCACAAAACTTCCAGCTACGAACGGTATTAATCTTTCAGACAAATCAGTATATTTTGTATGTTTCTACAAATATTACAAATGGAAAAACTGATCGGTTATACTGTGAGTAAGCAATATCGTATTAGTTAAAAAATTTGGACGATAAAAAAGTCATCTCGGAAACAATTTTTGCTAAAATTCTAGTTAATGAATATATATATAAATAATAATTTGTGAATTTATCGTTTTCATTCTAACTTTACATATTCAATAATAATGTCGAACTTCGCTTTCTGCGTACAACACAGTAAAAAAACAAAAACTGCTTTATCATACAAGAAACAAGACAAATTAATTCAGAACAAAACCGGCAATGACAAAATTTAGTGGTCACCACATAACAAGATAACAGGACAAAGAAATAATAGCAAACAGTAACAGTTATTATTATTATTATTATTATTATTATTATTATCATATTATTATTACTATCATTGCTAATATTATTATTGTTATTGCTATTATAAGCAAAATGCTTCTGGTAAAATGATGAAAAGAGTATTTTATACCTTCTCATTTTACAATATGTCATAGAATTTCGTACAGAAATAAAAATGTAGCAGAATTTTCCAGTAACAACAGAAGAAAATAAAACAGTGAATAGATTAAAAATAAAAAGACACAAAGTTGGTATTGAAAATTTAATAAGCATATTAAATTTTAGACATGAATTTTTTCACAACAGTTGTCTACACAGATATTTGAGAGCTACCAATGAATGCATACAAACAAGAATACTAGTAAAAAATTTTACGATGCTAAAAGTGTCTTAAAATACATTTAAAACATTTGCTAAAATAAAAGCATTCAGAGTTCCTTTGGAATGATAAGTTTAAACTTCTTTTGTAATAGCACAACTCCAGATGTTTGCTTTTTACATTAATTTTAAGACAAATTCAACAGAATTAAACACTATTATAAACAAATCTGTTTTACACAAAAGTGCCTAAAAGGTCAAATGTCAAATTAAACTTCAACATTCTGACATGAAAAATTTACTTTGTCTAAAAAACTTTGTATGGTACCTATGAAAGTTTATTTTTCGTTTCATAAGCGTAATACACGCAGATCTGACAGTAATGACAGAAGAATGATGTTCAAAACTTGAATTTAAACAATGCAGATTATATAGGATCAAATTAGCAACGAAATGAGAAAGGCACACACGCACTTGCACACAACGCACACATACATAGGTACACACGCATGTACGCACGCAAATGCGCACATATTCATATATTTCGCGTACGTAATCACCGATTAATATTTATCAGTAATTTATAACTTTAATAGATTTAATGATTTGTCAAATACTTTGTGAGATTACAGATAATGCTATCAAATGATAAATAAACGACACATATAGGAAATAAAAGCTTAGTAATTACAATAAACAGTATTGCAGATGAGAACTGTGATGATAGTGATTTTCCCAATTAGAAAAATAGATTAATACTATTAAAGTTAACATTACCATGTCTGAAATAATAAAGTAGTTATTTTTTGTGATACGTGCGAATGAAAATGAACTACACATCTGTTGACCTGCATGCACATTTTAGAACTCAAATTGATATATCAAAATCCGAGTAGTAAAGCCACGTTAAAGTAAACAAGAGGTATTTACGTGAAATCTCAACACACACACAGATGCACACACACGCAGAAAAAGTGCTCTACGTTAAATTTGCAGAGACGAAGCAAAGAAAGAGTTATAGATTAATATATTTTTGATCACAATAAATCGATTCGAAGCTATTCGCTTGCAACGAAATTTCATCGCAGAAACATTAACTAATCAGTAATATATAGCAAATCAATAATAATTTGCTAAATATCAATGTGAAAAATAGAACATTAAAAAGGATCAGAATCCCCGCAATACGGTAAATACCAGAAAATATTATCAAGATTTTACACGTAAGAAATATAAATGCACGGGATTGATTAAGTTATGATAATGAAAATATCTGCCCATGTTGCAATCAATTTAATTAATTAAATAGTATTTCTGGAAGTGATACAAATTTAAGCATAAAGGTTACATTAGACGTAATAGGATGTAAAAACCGGAACGTGCACGCGAGAATTAAACATATTGATAGCAGAATAATTCACAAATTTAAGCCACAGGATTGTAAAAAATGTTTAATTCCAGAAGAGTAAATTGCAGAGAGTACAACTTCTGAAGCTTTCTTTCTTACAACAAATTACCGCCGTAATTCATCATGTAGTATTTGAGTAACTGATTATGTTTCGATAAATTTATCAAAAAATAATCCAAATGATTCGTTTGAGTGAACAAAAATGATGTAAAAGATATGTAAAGTAAGTAATTAAAAACTTTTTCTTCAAAAAAGTCAACTTCATGCAATAAATTTCAGAATACTTTTATTCCATGATAATTTTTAGTCATAAAAAATTTATTCAAAAAGTGTGACGTGAAAAAAAAAATCTTTTCGTGATATTTTCATTATACTTTAACGTTTACGTGACATATCAGAAAAACATAAACAACAACATATGAATACGTGTAACATATATAATGTATAGAAATGGAAATTTTTGAGAAAAAAGTCACCGGTACAGTTCACAGTGGCAACCTGCCAATAATCGCCTTGCCGTAAAAATAAGAATAAAAAATAAAACAATAACTGATTATTGGGTTGAACAAAAATTAAAATATTTGAATCACTGAGAATAGAGTTGGCCCAGCAAATGTACAATAAAAGTAATGAGACAAGAATGAAACTTTCAAGCAAGTTTCCAAAAAATAAAAAAAAATTTTGCATACACCTGTTCAAGTAGAAGAAAGTGAAAAAAATACTTATGTAATAATTAATTATCAATAATAAAATATATGATGAAAATTTTTACATCGTAATTAGTCATAATTAAACAATTAATTCACTGTAACAAATGATAATAGTTTGTAGTTATTATGATTATGAAAAGAATAGAACAGATGTAATAACTATAATGATAAGTTATGGAAAACAATTCAAGAGGAAATAACGATGATAAGTTAAAATAACAGGCAGGCCCAAAAAATAAAACGGTACAAGCCTAGATTAATCAACAGAATTAGCAATACCTAGTCGTCTTTCTACTAAAAACAATAGAACCGCAAAATACAAGTAAGACGAACCGGAAATTATGAACTATGATTGAAGTTTACCGAATCTTGGAAATCAATTTTCATATATAATTATTGTAAATATCATTTTTGAATTAGGCAAATGAAAACTTGCATGAAAGTGATAAATTAGGCATTTTGATCAATTTATATGCAAACAAACATACGAGCAAAAATGACCGTAAATTTGAATATTTTTGGTGTCTTTGCACAACACTTTAATGAATGAATAATAGTCGAAGCCGACAAATAAATATAACATATTTCTCAAAAATTTTGTTCTATATTGAAAAAATCAATAAAAATCTCTGTGTTTTTACACGTATAGCATGAAACCGTAAATGATCAATATTTTCCTCATCTTTACGTAAATAATGCCTACACGTGGAAACGTAAAATATAGGGTTAGCAAAATAATGATGAAAAATAAACAAGCTGCAATATTTTTTGAATATTTAAAAAAAATATTCACCATATTAATTTTCTTATATCTCTTTTCCTACCAAAAACAAAAAAACAAAAAAAAATTAACTTTATATTTCGATAAAAATTTAGCTAAAAAGCTAAAAAGAGTTTTTCAAACTTTCAATAAATATATGCTAATTTTAATTTTGAAACACAATAATAACAATTTAAAAAACTGTGCTTTTTCTTTGTACGTAAACGAATTAGAAATTGAAGAAAAAATTATAAGAAAATAAAACTTTCCACAAGAAAGAGATCTAAGCAAAAAATTGAGTTAGTTCATTTGTGTTGGTACTTCTTGTCTCGTTTTGTGTACAAAAACAAAACCAAAAAAACAACTTCGACACGGGACTTATAATATAATTATTGCCACAACTGCTATTTTAGTGAGCGCTAAATAATTTTCAAAACAAAAAAAATCATTTTGAAAGTGCAATTAGCCGCGCAATTCATAAATTTTCATTTAGTATTTCGCTGATTGACTGATTGCCGCCATTATATGAAATTTTCAGAGTAAATTATGTGCGGATGCAGAACAAACATACTAACAGTAAATATTATAAAGTATAATGTTAATCAATTTACTAAATATTTGCACACTATTGCAGTTTACATCCCGGATGAGTGATTAAGTGAGTAAAGAGCAAAAATACGGTATAAAATGGGAAAAAGTTGAAGAACAGACGATTTGACCAGAATGACCACCATAATCATCGATTTAACCACATCCTCATGGACCAGAGAAGACGAATAATAATACACTTTCGGAGATTACAAGTATAAAAGTAAATGAGAAATTTTAATTTTGTAGAAAAAATACACAATTTAATATAATTTAATTATATGTTTTAAAAGTATCTATTAATGCCCTTCATGATTTTGAGATTTCTACAACGATTTTTGCTATCATCATTACTTCTCGTCACTGTAAAGCATAAATCTTGCATTTAGCATCAAGAAAAAGTATAACTTGATGGAGCTTCACTTTTGATTACAAACGTTGATAAAGAATTATTTGCTGGGGAAGTAGCAGAAGTAGATGAAACGGAAGAAATCTGCGGTTGTTTGGTAGTGGTAGCAATGGCAGGATATGAAGCAGAACTCGAGGATGGCGATATCTTCGAAGTTCCAAGCAGATTTTCAGGATCGAGAAATGGATAATGAGTTGTAGGTGTTGCGGTTGCTGTGACTGATGTACCGTTATCATTATTACCATTGTTGTTGTTGCTATCATTAAGATTAAGAGGTAACAAAGGTGACAAACCGAGAGCTGCAGCTTTAATTGCAGCCGCGGTTGCAACATTAACAATTGGCATTTGAGAGGTCAGAAGTGCGGGATTTGAGAGTAAACCATTCAATAGAGGAAGTTTCGCATCTACTGAATGCGTAGGCAAAATTGATGCAATTGGATTTACGCGATTTGCAACTTCAGCTAACTGTTGCAATGACATTAAAAGCCCCTGAAAACTCTTCCAATTAATTACTGCCTAAGAAAAACACGGAGAAAAATACTTGACAATACGTAAGCAACCTAGTCACCATTTCAACGCTATAAAATTAATCAAAGATAAAATAAAACGAGTTCTTAATAGTAAACAAGATAGATAACTGCATCTAGGTTGCAATATTTAAATATAAAAATTTCAGGTTGTTTCTGTAAAATTTCAAAAAATTTGATATATGGTAAAAAATTTTTAGATGTAATCAAAAGAATCGATCAATATATGAAATTATTAAAACATAAATTTCTAGAGCAAAAAAAAACACAATTACTCAATATTTTTAGCAGAAGAAAACTGAAAAACCAAAAGTTCAAAAAATTATTCAGAAATCATCATAATATTTGCGGGAATAATACCACGAAATAACATTAAAAAAATCAATTTTTTGAATAACAAAAATAATCTAAAAAACAGTACCTGTTGGTAGAAGTATGCATTTAATAGGGTCTGCGCATAGGATTTGTAATCATCAACATTAGACGATGAAGGATCAAAAGATCCTTCAGATGTTGCAAATGCTGCAGAAGTTGGTAACGTGGATAATGGCAAATGCAAACTACCATTTCCAGAGCCGGAAACCGGTGAAATTGTAGCGCCAGTTGCTACTTCAGCTGTTGCTGCTGCACTCGCAAAGTGATGGTTTAACGCTGAGGTATATGATGGTTGTGGCTTGTAAACCGATTGTAGTGTTGCCTATATGCATACAACACTGAGTCTTAATATGACAAAAATAATCACAAATTATTAATTAGTATTTAATGATTAAAATAATATAAAAATTAAAAAAATAAAATGTATTGAAGCATTTTTAATATCCTATCAAAATCATTTTTATGAAATAATATCATTTCGATATTTAGAAACAACAATTATATTTAATAACATTATACTTAATAATATATGAAAAAAAGCAATTGCTTATATCCACACCAATTCTAGAAAATAAGTAAGTAAAAAATGGCCAAAAAATGAATATTTCTTTCCATTATAATTATGCAAAACCTGCAAACCTGCGTTGAATCATTCCAAAACGATTGAAAATCAGCAGCAATAGAAGTACCACTGAGACCACCATGTAAAGGACTGGTGTTTCTGCTACCATCACTATTTCTTCCATTTCCATTACTCATTTCGTTTGCTTCGGTTTTTACTGCTAAATATGAGCATACAAAAAACGAAATTAATTAATAAATATTATCAGAATAAAATTATGCAAATAACACGCGATATTTCATGTTACAAAATAATATTTGTATACAGAGCTTATTCAGACAACTTTTTAATGTAAATGCATTTCTCTGTTTTTTACTTGATTTGTTAACAATTTGAAATGATTCCCATAATTAGTTATTCGAAACATATCATCATAATTGAAGAAACCATAGCAGTTAGCAATCAAACTAGACCACAAGATTAATTTTAAAAGTATTATCCATCCTCAAATCTTAATTGAACAAAAAGCAAGGTCTCTTATAATGCTGGTCGTAAGCAAAAAGAACTAAAGTTTTAATACAGGCCACCATTTTCATTAGATAATTTTTTTTTAAAGTCTTGAATTACAATCAACAAAAAATTATTTTTCATATTCATACCATTTCTATAATCTCCTTTAGCAATATCTTCATCGGAACCCGTTCGTAGAAAAAAGTAATCACTACAATTTAGCATTCTATTTGAGGTACCATCAGCAGATGACAATCGGTTATTAAATTGGCCACCTGCTGCAGCAGCGCTTGTTGATGGTGCCCTATTGGTACTTGCTCGATTTGAGCCACGACTACGTCGTCGTAAAGTTTGCTTATCACCTAATTCTGGCACAACAGTCCAAAAATGACCTAAATTTGATAAATTTTTTTCAAATTTCAATTTTGAACTACGGTTTACTTCATTCAGATAAGTATATAAAATTGAATTCTAGAAAAAGAAACAAACACTAACCAACAACACCGCTTGTAGATGTTTGTTTCAGAGGTAATTTAACAAAGCAGTCGTGAAGACTCAAATTGTGACGTATTGAATTTTGCCATCCCCATTGATCTGGCCGTAAACGATAGTACGGATGCAACATACGTATAACCTGTGATAGATTGATTATTATTGTGAAGTGTTAAGTAACAGAACCGATTATCAAAATTAAAGCCAGAAATCTAAATAGATTTAAAATAAATGAAAGCTTTAATTTCCCAAATACATTTTGATATTTTCAATATATGTAACAATATAATATAAATATTTTGTTAAATAAAAAATACTACCAGTAATTATTTGTGACAAATTTTATAAAACAATAAAATACTGAGTCAAAATATGAATAAAAATTTGTTCTTTTCATTTTTTATACTGAATTTTTTTGAAATAAAATAAAAGCCCCCCATTATGAACTCATTTTGTTATGGATAGAAACTTTCAAAAATCATCAGGAGACTTTTATATGAGTATTTTTTAAAAAGATAAACAATAGACAACTCTCATGCACACATTTTTCTATTTTTTTTAATCAAAGAATTTTGAAAAAAAAAAAAAGAAAAATAAGAGAAAAACGATCTTTATTTGATTCGCATTAAAGAAAGCAAAAGTGTTTTCAAAAATTAATAGAAAAAATCTATTCAAATAGCAGTTTTTTTTATTTTCAAATTTAAAATACTTCCACTGCTCTTTTTACTTTTTTACTTTTGAAAAAAAATATTCTTATAATTTATCCCTACTTACTTTATTGATACTTTTACAAGTAAAAACACATAAAAATGAGCATAATTTTTAATACTGTATACAAAACTAAGCAAGTAAATAAAACTATAAACAATACGAGAAATATTTGCAAAAAATTAATTTCTCGAATTCAAAACTACATTTTAAAGCTTACTTGATATATTTCATTCAATTTCAATCGCTTTTCTGGACTACTTTCTATGGCCTCAATAATGAGATCCTTGTAGCTCAAACTCGGCCGTTCCGCTTTTTCAACAGCAATTAGTGATTGATCTGCACCTGATGATCTACTTTTGCTCTCTGGGCTTGATCCAGTTGCATTTTGAGTTTCAGGTGCTGTACTGCTAATCTGATCCACAACTGATGATGATGGTGGTAATGATGACATTAATAAAGTTAAATTATCCATCGATGCTGGCATTTGATCAGATTTTGGCAAATCAACAATTGCCACTGAACAATCATCATCCACATTTTGCATATCACTTGTTACAACTTTTTCATTATCAGTGTCCTCATCATTACTATTATTATTGTTATTATCAGTATTACCATTGCCATTATCAATATCACTACTGCTATTTACGTCATTATCATCACTGCAACTACTATTGCCCAAAACAGCTGAATTAATCAAATCCATTAATTTTAGGGCACTGCCAATATGGGCAGATTTTTGTAGTGACGCTAGGCAAAACTCCAGTGCGATATTAAAATTTCTTCTTATTTCCACACACTTAATGGCTATCCCAAGTGCTTTCAAGCTGACCTTCTATTGAACCTTCAGCAAATAAATAATATTAATTGCAAAATACAGTAATGCTTGCAGTATTTTAACGCAAAAGCAGGCAAAAAATTTTTCGTTTCCAGTCTGTGTATTTTTTTTGGATATGATTGTCACTTTTCTTCCTGTAAAACACTTGCAAAAAAATTAAAAACTTTCATTTCAATTGCTACAACCAAATGTAAAACGATGAAACTGATCAAAAATTAAATTAAAATAATGTTAATAAAATCGTAATTAAAAACAAAAATACAATTTTTATAGTACTTTGATAGTCTGACAGAGTCAGAAACAAGGAAACAAGAAATAAGCATGGATAATATGAAATGAAGTATGAACAACGGCAAATAAAATAAAGATTATGATATTTGCTTTTTTTACTTTAGGAAAAAGCAAAAAAAAGTGCTCTTATCATTTTGCTATATTTAATAATAAAAACACCAATCTAGTAACTTTGTTTTTTCTTCTGAACATTAATACTATAATGTACTGTATTTACCAAATTATACATTATGTTTAGTAGTAGCAAATGCATAAACGAATTTGATCATCATTATCTTAGTTCACTTTAAAATCATAATAAATAATCTCACACTATTGATAAAATTTTGCAAGGGAGATTATTTTGAATTGATATATAAACTTCTAAAGATAAGAAACAATTTTAGAAACAAAAAAAGTGAAAAATTCTAAGCAACTATTGCTTTGTCCTTTTCGACATCTTTCATTATTTATTTTATCACTATTATTATCACTATTATTATTGTTATTATTATTCGAGTGGTCATTCAAATTTACTACTACAAATAATATAGCTGTTTTCATAATCATTAGCACTACTATTAACAATCGACAACATCAAACACTACATAACATTATTATGATTTATAATTTAAAGTAATACATAATAGGCTTAGTTATTGCATATATAACACTGTAAGAAAAATAAATAGGAAATATAAGAGGGCAGAGAATGAAAAGAAATGTAAGAAAGTGCAGAGGAAAAAAGTTCTAGCAAAAAATTCAGTGAAATTTTGTTGAAAAGACGACTAGAGGGCAGCAATAGAAGAACTAAAATACATGCATGTGTTGATCTTTACAGGATGTTAAAATACTTGACTTTTTATCAAAATTGTGCGATTAACAATTTATACGAATATAAATGAGCCTAGGGTCTTAGGCTTAGGCTTAGGCAAACTGTGAGTACATATCCGTGACCAGTTGTTAATATACTATAATAATGCGCATGTGATAGAAATACATTTCTATACATCAAAACTTATGTAACCAAGAAAACGCATACTGTAGTATGTAATAGCAAAAAAGTATGCTATCACTTATGCAAGTTTACAGTACTAGAAAAGTTAATAACTGCACTAATTAATATTATGCAAAAAATGAATGATACAAAAAAATGGATGACTTTAGAAAGTAACAAAACTGCATGAATTCAGAAGGACCACAGGTGCTTTGAAATAAGACGAAAGGGAGGTAGACGAAAACAATAA